CAGGATATCCAAAGTAGGATAGTCACAATCTCCTGAGATACAGCTTGAGTGGCATTTGCACATAAAATGTTGCTGCTTTTTTTTTTTTTTGTTTGTTATCTGAGTTTTAACTTCTCCAGTGTAAAAACCTCTCCAGAGCCTAAGTTAGGGTTTACCACAATTCCAGTAATCTTCAAGTATGGAATTACATCTGCCCTGTTTCAAACAGGAAGGTGTTTGTAAGTCATGTTTACAAAGTGTAGTTTACTACAAATTTTTTACCTGATTTCTGATCAGTGCTTTCACAATGCTTTCATCTTGATATGGTTCGTGATTCTGATATGAAATCATTTAAGACTTGAAAAACCCATGCATCATAATTTCCACACAATGTCTTCACTAGACAGTGACTTCTGGATTCAGACCAATCAATAAAGGGGATCAGTTCTCCACTTGCTTTTCCTGTGTCTCCCTTTTGTTTTGCAGCATCAGGCAAGACCCTGGTGCCAGGGTGCTGCAGGTAACACTGCTGCCCTCCAAGCTCTGCTACTTCAAACCCCAAACCCAGCACTTCAGGGAAGGTTGGCTTTAATGTGCCAGAGCCTTTCTGTCAGTACAGCCCTATTTTTATTTCCTAGCTTGCTGAGAACAAAGCTCTGAATGTGACTGAAGTTTTCCAGCTTCAATGAACTTCTGCTCTAGCAAACCTGTGTGCCTCCTCCTCTTAGCTCAAAGTTCAGAGATGAATCTGCTACTGTAAGTAAATTAATAATGATGTAATTACATTGAGGATTGTACCAACCAGCTGCAGTTCTGACAACTGAGAGGTTAAAATTGTGCTTGGATAGTGAATTAGTTTTACTGTCTTAACTAAATATGGATTTGGTAATTTATGGTTTAATTCTCCTCTTTCTTTAACATTAGGCTTCCTAGCAGGGCAGAACAGGGAAATTCTGTTGATTCTTTGTTGATTCACACAAAGGCACTTGGCTGACAAAGCTGGATTTGTACACAGCATCTTTTCCAACAGGAGGTTTCAGCATTCTACCACTGGCCTGTCCAAGAGAGGAGGACAACTCTGGCACTCTGTGTGCTCTCCACTGGAGCCAAGTGTTTTATTTCCAACAGCAGCTCTGTGTGGTTACAGTCTCTGTCTTTGGATGCTAAATGAAGAAATAAACCTGATCTTCAGGCAACCTGTTGGACCGGGACAGGCAGCTACAGCTCTGTTGCAGGACAGGTACAGGCTGGGTAATGCTCTGCTGAAGTTCAAACACCCCGAGCTGCAGCACTGACAGAAGCACAGCCCCTGTTGTGCTGTGCAGCATGTAAAGAGTGAGACAATTCCTGCCTATTCCTTTTCAAGACTTGCTCCTAGCACAGCCATGTTTTGAACCTGAACACTTTTGTGGGCAGGCAAGAGTAGCAAACTGCTACTCCTTGACTCTAACACAGGTATTAATACCAGGCCAGACTTGCACTTAGGCAGCCAAAATTAAATCACTTAGCACAGTAGGGCAGTCAAACCACAGACTACACAACAAATTCACACACTTCAGATATCACACCTTTATTTTGGGCTTTTTTTTTAGGCAGTGGCAGCCCTTCCTCTTAAGCACTCCTGAAACTTCTCATTGCTGTTTCTCTGGAGAATTGCACCGAGCTGCTCGCAGGCTGTCTGTGCTGACCAGCTCTTGCTGCCTTCAGCCACCTCAAGGTTGGACTCTGTGGCCAAAATCATTTGGAGCCCTTTCTCCTCTTGGCCAGCTCAGCTAGTTCCTCCTGGATATGCTGGACAGCAGCAGCATCTCCCTTCTGCTGTGCCTGCTTGAGAGCTTCTTTGAACACTTGTTTTGCTTGCAGGAAATCTTCTGTAGCAAGAGGGAAAAGAGGCTTGACTACCCAGTTCCACCACCCATTTTCAGAGGCCCCTCCAGATGCTGATCACGCGCAAAGGACAAGGACTACTTGGAACACGCCAAGATCTAAGGAGGCTCAGAAAATATCCTGCCAGGTTGTCAACTCTGAGAGCTGGAGAGCAGCAGTGATGATGGGACCTGGTGCTGCTTCAGCACTAAAGTCTCATAGAAGCAAATCTCGTGCATGTCTTCTGTCCTTTTGGAAAAGTTACTGGACACAAAGGATATGGGAAACAAGATCCCCTGGCAACCTTTTGGGTCAGGCTAAATTCAGTTTGTGAAAGCAATTCAAAGTCGGATCTACTACCTAAACTAAAACTAATAACCCCAAACCAGCACTGTAGTTCAGCCCTACAACATAAACCCAGATCTCTGCAGTCAGCACAAGCTCAGTGACAGGCTGGGCATTTATTCACTGACCTTTGTGCATCAGGATTGCTGCCAGATTATTGAGCACCACGTGCTCCTCAGGGTGCTGAGTGTCCCTTGCTAGCTCTGCTGCCCTCCTGCTGTAGGCGAGCGCCTCCTCGTAGTGTCCCTGAGCGTCTAGCACCGTCGCCAGGTCATTCATCAGCACCACACTCTGCACCAGGAGGGAAAAGGGAAGCTTCTGGAGCTGTCTGGGGCAGCAGAAGCACCACATTCATTCCCTGTCACACCAGTTAAAGCAGTATTTCCCAATTTTTTCCCAGAAAAGCATTGAGTAAGGAGGTGTCCTGTATTTCTGTATTTGCATGCCTGCCCTTCCTGGCAGGAAAACAGCCTCAGGTAGTGCTGGCCATGTCTGATGGCAGCAGAGTTGCTCCAAGGCTGCCTAATTCCCTGCAGACCAGCCTTTCCTTCCCTAGAGCCCAGCTACTGCTGTACCAATCACCTGTGGATGAGTCTCTCCCTGAACATCATTTGATATCTGCAGAGCCTTCTCATACACTTTCTGTGCTGCTGGGAGCTCATTGATATTCAGGAGGTAGCGGGCGTAGGAGTCCAGGCTCATCCCAAGCAGGAGCCGGGTGTTGGCCTTTTCTTCAGCTGCAAAGAGAGGGGAGTGAAGTGATCACTGCCACAGGATTCAGCATGAACCTCCACCCTACCACAGCAGGAAACTCAGGCAGTGTGAAGACGATGGGTTGACATGAAGATGGTGCTTAGGTAATACAGAAACAGCATCAAGGACAGGGACATGAAGAACAGATGAGAAGCCTTTGGCAGACAAGGCTGCCCACCTGATAAGACATCCTCAGGCAAGTCCTTCTGCTTGGCAATCTTCTCCTCTAAGGACAGGATGCAGAACTGGTAGCCAGCTACAGCTAATTTATGCCTGCAAAGTGCAAAGCAAAGCTCCTTCCATCCCTGACGGATCCCTCATTCAAGAGCCTCTGCTTGGCCACCCCACCACCACTGCAAAGCTGAGATGGAAGCAGATGACACCTCTGGGAACTCACTGTTTCTGAGCAGCGTAGATACTGGCCAGCTTGAGGGACATCTCAAGGATGGCGTTGTCATCCTGCCAGGACACACAACACAACCGTTACTCTTCTTGTACCTCCCCAACAGAAACATTACTTCGAGTTTAGACCTCGAAAATCCCCATCTTGTTGCCTCCAGTGCTGCCATCCATTACAGTATAGCAAATTTCCAGTAAGAGGCATGACAGCACAAGAAATAAGGTCAAGAGAAGGACACCACTGGGAGCCTCTCTCAGAACATACCTCCTTTGCATCCCCTGCAAGCATATAGCTCATAGTTGCTTTGTAGAGCTTTTCTGCCTGAAACAAGAATTTTGAAGAGGACACTGAGGAATGATGGCATTCAAAACAAAACAGAGGCAAACTACATAGAGGGACCTAGCTCAAATTTGTTGCATTTACATTACACCAACACCAGTTAGAAGTGAAAGGCTGACCAGAGCCCAGCAGTACTGAACCAGTGGATCCTTTCAACTTCTCCTTAAGCACTGCTGCAGCAGCCAGGCCTTTACCCTGTCTGTGAGCTCAGGGGTTTCCCAGATTCTCCTTGGAGCAGCCATCTCTGTGCTCAACTGCAGCATTTCACAGTGAGAAGTATTCCTTCCCTTGCACAGTATTGGAACTCAAAATTTAACTGCAAGAGCATCTTTCTCAACCTGGTGTACTCATGGGACTGCAGCTCTGAGTTGGATCATTCTGCTTTGCACTGGGACATCTCTGCCCCACAGCTCTGAGCCTGCAGCTTGTGCCAGCACCCCACACCTTCAACACTGTGTACAAGATGTCAATCCCTAAAAATACAGAGAGAAAAACCAGAGTTACTCACATTGTCCAGCTGTCCCTGCATGTAGGCCACGTTCCCCATCTGGAAAAGACACACAGTGCTCAAGCTCCACCCAGGCAATGCGGACGAGCCTCAGCCGCTTTTCCTTCTCCCTTCAGCTGTCTCCCGGCTGCTCACCATGCTGTAGGTGTAGATGATGGCCTGTCTGTTCTCCTGCTGGTGCGCCCGGCGCAGGGCCTGGTGCAGGAGCTGCTCGGCCTCGGCCAGCTCCCCCTTCATGGCGCTGAGCTGCGGGGGCACCGGGCCCGGTCAGGGCCGGGCTCCGCGCCCGCACCGCCCGCACCGCCCGCACCGCCCGCACCGCCCGCACCGCACCTTGGCTCTCTTCAGCAGCAGGACGATGGCGTCCTCGCCGTCCTCCTCGGCGTCCCGCGGGAAAAAGGACAGCCCTGCGGGGACAGCGTGGTGGGTGCCCGGTGCCGGCTGCTCCCTGCCCGGTGCCGGCTGCTCCCTGCCCGGTGCCGGCTGCGCCCTGCCCGGTGCCCGCCGCCCCTCTCACCTCCCAGGAAGGCCAGCGCAGCCCCGGCCGGCCGTGCCCAGCGCGGCCGCGCCAGCCCCGCGGTGCCGGTGTCCCTGCGGTGTCCCCGGTGTCCCCAGGTCCAGGCGGGCCGGGGCAGGACGGAACAGCGCCGGGGGCACAGCCGGGACAGAGCCCGCGGCAGCGCCGCCGCCGCCATCCCGAGCGGGCCCTTTAAGAGCGCGCACGCCGCGCATGACGTCACCGCGGGCACGGGGCGGCGTCGTGACGTTGGGTACGGCACCGGGAGCGGCACCGGGAGCGGCACCGGGAGCGGCACCGGGAGCGGCACCGGGAGCGGCACCGGGAGCGGCACCGGGAGCGGCACCGGGAGCGGCACCGGGACCCGGATCCTGCCGCTCTGGCCGCCCTGGTGAGCAGGTCCCAGCCCATGGCCGGCCCCTCAGGACACAGAGCGGGAACAAAGATGAGGAAGGGGCTGGAGCATCCCCCAGGAAAGGCTGAGGGAGCTGGGGCGGCGGGAAGGGGACCCCATCCGTGTGTAAATGCCCCAGAAGGGTGACAGGGGCCTGCGCCAGGCGCTGCTCTCCAGGAAATGCCACCTGGGCATGAGGAACATCTGCTGCCCTGGGCAGTGACCGCTCCCTTCCGCGGGACCTGTGTTTGTGTGGGGGCATCTCAGAGACACCCGTGTGTTCGTGAGGATTCCTGTGTCCCCAGAATGTATTTAAAAAAAAAAAAATTTAAAAGTTGCTTTTAAGACAATTTAAAGGATGCCATTCCTTGGCCTGGTTGTTGGGTTGGAATGGAGTGCCCAGATAACCCTTCCTGATGCTCAGTATCCATGGCGACACTAAAGATTTCCCACTGTCTCCTGTCCTGTCTCGTTTCCAGGGATGATCCCGTGCCAGGGGGATGGACAGGAGTACCTTGCCAGCAGTGGCACAAGAGCTCTTGAGAGAGATCAAAAAGGCTTTCCAGGAGACCTCACAGGGTACGTGAAGGATGCCAGCAGTGGCCAGGAGCCTGTCACAACCCAAGGGAGTGATGAGGGTCCTTGGCCTCCCCTTTTTTACCAGACCCCCTTGTCTCAGGGACAGCCTTCACCTTTGTGTCCTTTTTTGTGACAACAGACGGGTGTGAAGCACAGATAATGAGGAGCAGCCCCTTCTCCAAGTCTAATTGAAAAATCACACCAGTTTGGACTCTTTTTTTTTTTTTTAATGTGAGGTTTCAGGGTAATGCTGCTTCTCAGAACTCCTGGTGCACGTGGTCACACTTGAGGGATGATAAATTAATGCCTCTGGGCAGGAATTCTGCTGTGCCCTCTGCCCTGCTGGTTTTATAGACTCACCAGTCCCAAAAGTGGAGTTGGAAAGGGAAATTTCCCAAAGTCGCTGCCTGGCTGACCGGCAGAGGGGGTGTGCTGGTGATCCCAGCTGGGAACAACCTCCCAGCGCTTCAGGGAAACGAGCACAAGGCAGCAGTGAAATCCTGGCCAGTTCCAGCAGCTAGGTTAAGAACAATTACCTTTGCTGGATCTGTGCTAAGAGAATATTAATGTTTGTGTTTACTGGATGAGTTGCACAGAGTGGCTCTTCCCAAGGAAAGTGTCTGCTGAAGGAATATTTTTAACTGCACAAAGGCCAAACAAATAAGAATTCAGATAAATCTGTCTTGAGCACTACATGGGAGTGAGGAATGGGCAGAAACTTCATGTCTACACTGTCAGAGTGACAGCTTTTTGGCACACTTGCATTATGGCTCCTGTCAGGTTAGAGTAGATCCAAAATCTACATGTGACTTTTAAAAGAGCTTTATAAATCCTGTTGTAAACTGAGCAAAAGAAGAAGTTTACATTCCTTTAAAGATGTCCTTAAAGCAGCAGAGTGATACTAAAGCACACATTTGAGACAGAGCTGTGGAGACAAAATGATTGATCCTTTTGCAGAATTAAATTCAAATAAAGCTGGAAAATTCAAATCAACAGTGCAAAGTCATAGAGAATATTTTGAATTGTTGAAAGAAAAGGATTTTAAAGTCAAAAATCCAGATCTTCCAGTGGGATATAGAGACAGAGTACACTGTGTCCCCTGGGTGACAACAGAAAGATCAGAGAGGACAAGCAGAGCCTGAGCTGTCAGCTACAACAAACACTGCTGTGCTTGAGTGTAACTTTCCATCTTAAGGAGAAGTTCCAATAAATGAGGACACAATGTTTCAGTGGGCTGTATGGAAAGCCATAAACTGGTGGCGCCCTGCAAGAGTGTGTTGGGGAAAAAAAACAACATTTTTAAAGTCATGATGCCAGAGTTCTCAACTCATGGCAGGAGAGCTTCAGGGAAAATAATAAATATATTTTTAACCAGCTTCTTAAACTGAGAGTAAGATGCTGAGCTTCCTGCCTTTTATTGTGTGCTTTTGAATGTCATAAAAGAAAGTACACTGGGGCTTCTGCTTTTCTTTTTCAAATGAATCCCTGTGGTGATTGCTGTACTTGGTAACTGCCTTAGCACTGTGCATGAGCATTTCACTGCTCCTTGTTGCTTTTTTGGTGGCTAGAGAGGATGTTGAGAGCACTGCAGTCCTGTGTGACCTCTGGGTGTACCTTGGGGGGACAGTGACCCTCCTGTCATGTGAAATTCTGTGAAAACACATTTCCTTTTCTTTCTGTTGCAGTCCCTGATGACCTGCTGCTGGGGTAAGTGTCTTCTGCTTCGGTTCCTGCCCCAGTGTTCTGCTGAAGGGCAGCTGGTGTCAGCTTTCATCACTGTTTTCCCCTGTGTTTGACCAAGTGCTGCTGAAACACAAAAATGCCAGTGGTTTTGGTGGTAGTGGAAATGAAGGTCCTGAAGGGGTTTTTTCAAGATACTCACAAAATTATCTCTGTATCACTGCATCTCCTGTAATGACTTGTTCTAATTTAAACCCTGGATATTTAACCTGAGCTCTGAGTCCAGCCTCAGGTCTGGAAGGAGTTTGCTGTGGGAGTGGATTGTGTTGCAGGCTGATTCATCCCTCTGCCTTCCTGCCACTGTGAGCACCCTGAGCTCACTCCTGTTTGAGTCATGGGCACCTGTGATGGAGAGGGAGAAGTGTCCTTATCATCACCCTGCACAAGGGAATTGTTAACTTGGAGGCTGAGAGTTTTCTTTTGTTTAGGGGCAGTCTCAGGTCGGCTTTGTCACCCTTGTGAATACTTTGGTCATTCCCAGCAGTGACCTAAGAGATCCAAGTTTCACAGCTTCAGCCCTCACCAGTTGGTGCTGAAGGTGGAGAAAAGGGACTGTCACTGTGAGACTTTTCAGATCCATCTGTAACCTTGTGGTCCTGCCTGCCAGGGTATGAGATCATTGGGAACCCTTCAGGCCTTAATTACTTTGTGTTAAAGTTATCTGACACGACATCTGTGGAAGGTGTGTTGACTCCCTCTCCTGGGACCACAGTGGCCTTTGAAAGATGGGATTAGATTTGAAAGCTTTTGTTTACTTCCCCTTAGAAAAGAAAAGAGAAAATAAATTCTCTTGTTAGGTTTAATAATGGTCGGGTGGTAACTCTTGGCAGCCAGATTCCCATCCATTCCCTGCATCCAGGAGCTCAGAAGTATTCTAATTTCCCAATCTCTCCCAAATCTCCAAAGTCTTTGAATTTCCTGTGGGCATTTCCTGTTGAACTGATCAAATTATATACACAAGAAAAGAATTTCCTAAATTTGAAAAGAGTTCCTGAAACTCACTGAACTCATCCCCCTTACAGTCCCAAACCTAATCATTAAGGAATGTATTATGTTAAGCATTCCCCACCCACCTCCTCACAGCCCCCAGACAGAGCCAGCCCTTCTTGCCTTGAGTTTGTGCAAGTTTTGGTCTTCCTGGAATCTGTCTGTCTGCTTGGCTGCTTATCAGTGAGCTTGACTCAGCCCTGCTGGGGCTCTGCCTTGCTCAGTCCTCCCTGCACTTGGAAACTTTCCCCTTTCTCTTGGTCTCCTGCTCGTGTTTGGTGCTATCTCTTCATCACTGCTGATTTCCTTGTTGTTTACCCTTGGAATCAATCTAGACTACACAGATTTTTCTCAGCGGGTGAAAGGTCTGTAAAGTTAACTGAATTGCCCCTGAGCTCTTTGGAAATGCTCAAAGCAGCTGGATTTACTGGTCTAGAATGACTTTGAAACCCATTAGCTGTCTGGACAATAGGCTGAAGGTGTAGATATCCATATTTAACACACACCTTTTCCGATACCCCTGCACAGCACCAGCAGGAGATAAAATCCCCCTTTGGGATGTGCAGTGATCCCCATCCCAGGCACTCCCTCATCCATAAATGCTGTGCATCCCTGCACATGTCCTGCCTGAAAGGGAAAGGGTTTTTAGCGGGAGTGGAGGGACATCAGGCACATGCTGCCCCTGGGTGTTTATCTGTAATAACTTGGCTGTCTCTGAGCCCTGCTCATAGCTGGGTCACAGATGTAAAACTGATGCTATCTGGTGTCTCCATGTGCAGTGGAGTGTCTTTGAGTAATTCCCTGGTGTTCTCCAGCTTCCTTCTGATGCAGTTTGGTGGGTAGAGAAGGGATAATTTTCCCCCAGTTGTGCCTGTGATAGAGATGTGATCGCTACAAAATGACCCACTCATTCCCCAGGGTTTGAGCCGATTTCCAGGGGATGAGGAAGGAGCCCCAGATCCTTTTGCTCCAGGAGCTGTGGATCATCCTTGCTCTCCCCTTTCCCTGGGAGCTGTGTAGTCCATGCCCAGAGGTGGGATTCAAGACTGAGTGATCAGTCCAGGACAGTACATGCAGGACAGCCTGGCTGCACAGCTGAGGTGTCCCAGAGCACGAAACCCTTTGCCGTGAGTGCTGGCAAGTCTGGCTCTGTGTGCTCCACTAAAATCCCTTTGTGCTCGTGGGACATTTTCAGCAGCTGCAGTAAGGAAAATGTCTTACTTTTGCAATGGGCACCTTCTGGGCTCCTCTGTGCCCTGGGGCTGAGCCAGCTGGTCTCCCTTTTTGCTGTGACATAACTAGAGACACATTCTCTTCCAGGCTGAAGTTCATTTTTGGCCCATCTACAGTCCCAGCTCTGGATCTGGTGGATCAGCGTTCTGTCACCCAGATCAGGTCCCCCAGTGGAAGGACTCTCTACCAGGTACATGCTTCTCTTTGCTCTTGCTTTCTGCTGGTTTCCAGTTGGCATCTGAGACTGTTTTCCTGATTTGCAGAGCATAGATAAACAGAGAGAGGACACCAGTGTTTTACAAACTCCTGAAGTGACACTGGAGAGCAGCAGATTTAGAGCAGCACAGTTCAGAACAATTTTCTTTGTGGCTCCCAGCCAGCCAGAGACAATGTATTGTTTGTGGGCATCACAATCAAGAGGAAGTTTTCCAGGGATTGCTAATTTTGCTTTATTACTCTCATCCTATCCAGCAAAGGAAGTTCTTCCTCTTGACCAGTTGTACACAGCTCAGTGTTATCTGCCATCACTGCCTTTCTTTCCTCTCATGACCTCTGCTTGGCAGGGGATCTCTGCTGCCTGGGAGGAAGCAATGCAGGCCAAACCCATGGGTTTCATTCTGGTTCAGTGTGGCCAAGGCTGTGAATCATGGAAACATCCCCATGAAATGGAATTTTGCAGAGAAGAGCTCACCACAGCCCTGAGATCAAGCACAGCACAGGCTGGGTGTGAGGTGAGAAGAGGAGCCATTGATATTTCACTCTCACCTTTCTGTGCTGTGCACAATTCCTTGTTCTGTGGTCCCCCAGCACTGGTGGCATCTCTTTTAGGACAGTCTCTGTGCTGTGAGCCATTGACCAGCTGCATCCAGCCCATGGCTTTCAGAGTCAGAGGGACACTGCTGTGCCCTGCTTGAGCACTAGGACCCTGTGCCCAAAAGATTTTGCTCAAGAAGCACCAATTCCTTCTCAACACTCCCAACCCCCTCAAGTAGCACAGCCCACCTAGGGCTGGGCCTGGCTCTGTGCTTTTCACACACCAGGGAAGGGGGAATGTCTTTGCTCACTGCTGTGGCACTCAAAAGGAACATTTCCAAGTGTCCCCTCTGCAAAGGACCTTTTCTCCTCCCCTGGAGGCGTTTTGGGGTCGTGTAGGGTGAGAAAAAGGCTGTGAAGTCAGGTGTGGCTGATGGCACAAACCCTTCTCACGTGTTCAGAGCTTGCACAGTTTGCACACGGAGCCTGTATCACTTCTGGAGCCATGGAGAGGACACGGGCTCCTCCAGAGGAGCATGAATCATAACCAGGGCTCAAGAACAGCCTTGGGTTCCAGTTGAGGGCTTGCCTGTGGAATTTTGGTAAACCTAGGATGCTTCCAGCACCCACAGACAGCCTTGCTGATTAATTGAATGCTCAAAGGCTTTCCCTTTTTTACTGTTTCTTGTCTGAAAATGCCACTGGGCAGAGAACAGTCATATTCTCCTTGCAGAGCTTTGTCAGGCCCTGCAGGCTAAGGCACAGCTTTGCTGGGCATCAGTTAATAATCCACAGATATTAATATTGGGCTCAATTGGTGCACACTGAAAAGGAACAAGTGTCAGAACTGCTCTCCTGCCTCTTCAGGGAGAGGGAGCCTCTGGTTTCCCTGTGGAGAAGGAACCCCTGGACAGCAGGGTCAGGGAGTTAATGCAGGACAAACCTCCAGGAAGGAGGTTCCTGTGTGCCTCCAGCTGCAGTCATCTTCAGTGGAGCTTGATTAAGGCCACACTGATGAGTTCATTAACAGAGGAATCTGAAGAGATATTTTCTCTGGGGGTGTGAGGTTGGTGCCATTGTGAAATCCTCCCTCATCACAGCTGTCTGAGATGCAGAAACGAAGAGCAGAGTCTACCCTGGGGCTGGAGCAGCGACAGGAACACATCTGGGGCCATAGAAACTGAACCCCTGGGTGGGTTCTGCACTGGAGTCACTGGCTCTTCATTCCTGTGTGCTGTGGAAATGTTGGAAATGTGTGGAAATGTCCCCAGCTGTGCTCCAGGGGAGAGGGGCATCCATGGCTGCCTGGACACTGCACAATCATCCCTGTTAATCATCCCCCACAAAGTCAGCCCTGCCATCTCCACCCAGATGTGGTTGAGCTGGAATGTGAGGTGGTGCTTCCACTTGCAGCTGGCTCTGGAGAACTCTTTGAGGCCATGAGGCTGGTTCTGTTGTGAAACTCCTTTGGGTCATTATAGCCAAATCTGAGCTGGTGATTCCATATCACCTAGCACATCTCAGGTCCTGCTTCAGGGGAGGAAGGCTCTGCTCAGACAGGCCCTGTTGTGTAGGCAGCTCTTGCTCTCAGGAGCTGAGATGGGAGAAGAAAGAGCCCTCAGTCAAATGAAAGCTGAGATTTGTCTCTCAGTGCCCTTGCTGTTTAACAGAGTAGCACTGATGGAGTGAGGCACGATGCCTCAGAGCTGAAATCATCCCAGGAGAGCTTGGGTGATAGCTGCCAAGCTGATGTCAGGGGTAAATCCTACCTGCTGCAGGGATGGTGGGTCTGGCTGGTGGTGGAGCTGTGCTGGATGTGGCAGTGTTGACCTGGCAGCATTTGGGGCACCCTTTAGCTCTGAGCTGTGGCAGTGCTTCAGCCCTGCCAGCTGGCACATGCACCGCTCACATCCTGCACCTTCACTGGGGATTTTTTTCATTATGTCCTTTTTTCATTAGTTTCCTAGAACTGTGTGGCAGATGCCCCACTGTGAAGGGTTTGAGCAGCAGGCCCTGGCACAGGCTGTGGTGCTGCCTGTCTGTCTGTCCATGTGCTGGTGCCTCAGCTGACCGTGCTGTGCCCCCATACCCTGGCACAGACACCTCCAGGGGGATTTTTCCTCACTGAGGCCCAGGGATGAGGACAGCAGAAGGAAATCGGTGCCTGGCTGGGCTGCAGCTGGCCAGGAACAGAGGCACCTTTTTCTCCCAGTCTTTGGATTTTAGATTTTGCCTTATTAGGCAGAGTCTCTGTTCTTGCCATCTAGGTCAGGATGGGGGAAGGCTGAGCTCAGCCCAAATCTGGCAGTGTCTGTCTGTGGCTTCCCCCCCTCCCCAAAGAAAAATACTTCTGAAGGGAAGGCACCATCACAATCCTTCATCTTGGAAATAACAATCAAAGGGGCTACAGAAAAACAAACTTATCACAAGTGAAACAAACTCAGCCTGCAGTAAAAGGAGGACCCAGGGGAAAGGCCAGACTGAGAAAAAAAATGGTTTACCCTGAAATGAGAATGTGAGTTTTGTGTCCTGGATCTGCTGGGAGTGAGGGGGACTTTGAGGCATTGGCACTTCTGTGGGAGAGCCTAAACTTCTGGATGTTCCCTGTTGGGCAGAGGGTGCAGGGAGAGCTCCAGGGAACAGGGGAAGGCTCCCCATGGAAGTGCAGCTTTGGACTGTGAGGGACAATGTTCCCCTGGAGGGGTTTGGAATGCCAGGGATGTCCTGGAGGGGAGCAGCACTCTGCAGAGCTCCACTGCCTTTTCACTTTTTGTGTTTATCTTTGGATTTGGGGGTGTGTGTGCCACAAACCCAGCCAGTCTACAGCCTGGGGGGGGTGATGTGACCTCCAAGCCCTGGGCCCTGTGCAAGTCTGTTCTGCTCCTGCAGATCATAAAGTAGTTTCCTAAAAGCTATTTTCCAGTCTTGAAGGGACCAAAAGAGGAATAATAATCCATAGGCTGGCTTTCCTATATCCTGCAGTCAGCTCCAGCAGCTCACAGATTGCTCCGTGCTGGAAAAAAATGCTTCCCTCACCTGTTTGCTCACCCTGGTGCCTCAGTACCAGCCTTGCAAGGAAAAGCATGTGGGAAAAGCAGGCAGTGCTGTTCCCAAAGCAGAGATGGAGCAGGGAGGGCTTCTCTGGAGACTTCAGCTTTGTTTATTCAGGCAGATCTGGATTCCAGTAGCTACAGCTGGTTTTGAGCAGAACAGCCTTCAGTGGTTGGGAAAGGAGAGCAAATGCTCAGTGCTGCTCTCCTGTCCCGGCCCATGGTGGCTGTGGGCTCATAGCTGGGCTCTGTGTGACTCCTGGAGCTCAGGGAGTGGTGCCACTGCCCCCTTCCCAGCCCTTCAGAATCAGACAGGTCCCTGGGGCTGGGGTCTGCTGCAGGCACAGGTACAGGACACCCTCACCTGCAGGGAGAGAAGCTTGTAGAGAACATGAGAAAGCTGAGGAGCTCCAAGCTTAGGTGGGTCACTTCAGCGTTTGGGGACACTTCTGTACTGTGACATGTCCCCCTCACTGCTGGGTCAGTGCAGACCCAGCCTGAGGCAGAGAAATTAAAGTGAATCCTGCCTCTGACTCCTCACCTGCCTCTGTTTCAGGTCCTTGGAAGCTCAGGCAAACTCTACACCTGCTACAGCTCCTGCCACTTCTGCACATGCCCCGCCTTTGAGTTTTCTGTGTTGCAGAAGAGTGAGAGCCTTCTGGTGAGTTCTCTTCCTCAGCCTGGCATGGAGAGAGGGCCCAAAGCTCTGCCCTGAAATTCCCAAACAAACAGGAGTGTGGAGCTGACCACGCAGGCTGAGCCTGACCCACTGTGTCCCTGGCCTCTGAGAGCCCGATTTTGGGTGCAGGGAGGGGTTTTGGGGGTCAGCAGTGGTGGGGAGGGTGCCAGGAGCCAGGATCTGTGTGGCAGGTCCCTGCATGGCACAACTGGGGACACTGAGCACCACCTGTGCCAGGAGGGAACCACGCTCCTGGGAGGGTTGAGCACTTCATTAAACACATTTTGGCCAGGATGGATTCCTGGTCCAGACAGAGCTGACATTCCAGCCTTGCTCCTGCTGTTAACTTTGCAGTGCAAACACATCCTGGCTGTCTACCTCAGCCAGGCCATGGGGGCCTGCCAGGAACTGGCTGTGTCTGAGGAGCAGCTCACAAACATCCTCCTGGCTGAGGAAGAGGATGAAGGATGAAGGATTTGGATCACTCCTGGCTGTGTAGCTGGCATTTTTAATATCTACAGGGCTGTCAAATGCTCATTGTGGTTAGTAGATTTCTTCCTGTGCTGCAGCAAAGCGTGATGTTAATTATCAGCCTGGTACTGATAAATTAATTAGGCCTGTGTTGACTTCAGTTTCATTTATTTATGCTGTTTTTGGGATTTCTGAAGATGTTCAAACGAATCTGTAATAATTGTGATGTCAGAATGCAAGTAGTTCTACAGGTCTCTGTGATCCACAGATCAAAGAGCTGCTGTGGCTCTTTGCAGGTGGCAGCTCAGAGCAATTTCTGATTTTTCAGTGGCAAACCTGGTCCAGGGACTAGGGCAGGGACCCCTCAGCACTCTGAGGCTGGTGACAGCTCTGTGCTTCCACTGGAATGGGATCTTTGGAAGCATCAACGTGGTTGCTGTGCTTGAAATGAAACATTTTCAGACACACTGACCACCTCAAGGCTGCTTCCCTGGGACTCAGCTCCTTCCTGCTGTGATTCCCTGTCCTTGCTGTTCCCCCTGGGGGCAGTGTGGCCTTTTGTGCTTGTGTGAACGCGTCAACCACAAGAAATAAGAGGGCACAGGCTGAGCCAGGTGCTGGGGATGGTAAATGAAACATTTTGTATGTAAATAACAGTTACTGCAAGTACAAAATCTGAGCAACATGAGGAGAACACGTCCATCCATGTACATCAGAGCAGTGGCAGTGACAGCTGAATGGCCACAGCTGCACTCACTACAGAAACTCCTCTGCTGTTTTTGCTTCACATTTTTATAGAAACCTTCAGTTTTTTATTGAGGGGAGCAAGGGAAGTGTCCTATTTTTATTTTGCCTTGAAATATCTTTGGCTCAGATCCACAAAGGCACTTCATGTGCCCAGTGACCATGACCTGGGCCAGAGTTAATGCCTGACAGCCCAAAGGCACATCTGGACTGCTCCATGTCCATATGCAGGAATTCTGAGCTGCACTGGAAGCTCTCACATGTGGACAAGGGTTCTGGGACCTTCTTTCTTGGTGTTACAGCACTGAAAGTTTCACTCTGTTGCTGCTGTGAGAGTCTGGGTTGGTTTCAGGCAGCCAAAGGGAGAGATTCCATCCTTTGTTGTGAGAATAAATGTGGCTTGCAACCACTTGGCACCACAGCCAGAGCTGCAGGTGAAACCCTGCTTGTCTCCAGCTGTGATTAACAGGAGGAACAGGGCCAAAGATAACACGGGAGGGAAGGAATGAAGGGAGGAGAGAGCCAGGCCCTGCCCAAATGGCAGGAGGTGGCCCCTGTGTCAGCTGGCTGCTGACCAAGGCAGATGCAGCAAAGATGAATGGGGCTGTTAGAGGAGAAGCACTTGGGACAGTGGTTTGAACTGCTCAGACTCATGCTGGAAATACCAATCTCTGAGACACTGAGCTGTAGCTAAATTTGGACATTGCATAAACACGTGCAAACCCATTCAGAGCTCTCTGGTGATTTCACCCAGGTTTGGGGCTGAGCTGCTCCAATGGCACTGAAATCCAGCACTCCCAGGGAACCATTCCCTGTGTATGGTGGGCCCAGAGTCATTCCTGCAGCTCTTGCCTGCTGGCAGGAACAAGATTTCTTCAGCTTTGCAATTGATTTTTACACCATATTTGTCGTTATATGTGCCAGAGTAATGAAACTCTTGAGGTGTGTACCCCCCTTTTAGTGCAACAGAATTTAAAAAAAATATAGAGTTGATTTCTGTGTGATTCAAGTACAATTTTTCAGGGATAAAAATATAAAAATTCCTATTAAGGGGGGGAAAAAAGCATTCACATCTGGAGGTTACAGGGCTGCAGAGGTGCCCCAGCCAGACCAAGCTTTAGGAATCAGGTGAGCTGCAGCACCCACCTCTTAGAGCTAAAACCTGCACTTGAGGAAGCTCTGCAAGGCTGGCAGATCTTGACCTGGGAGCAGAAATTGTAGAGCTCGTGTCCCCAAGGCAGAGTGACACTGGCCTTGATGGCTCTGGTTTAGATGAGCCAAGATCATTGGGGCGCTTCTGCCTCCTGCTTTTTGATAGCTGGAAACAGATCTGCAAGCAAACCTGAAGCACTGGGCTGCACAGTCCTGTGGACCAAAGTGATTTAAAGGCAATAAAACCTCTGCTCTAAAACCTTGGTCAAACCTTTTCTCAAATCTTTCAGTAAATGGGGTTTCCATGCTGGGCTACCTGGTTTTCCCCATCCACACAGTCCCTCCCCCTCAGTGCCTGGAACACAGATTCAGTTTCACATCAGCAACTGGGCTAAGTAAGACATTTTCCCATCAGAGAATACAAGCTGCATCAAACAATTGATGGAATAATTAGGGTATTACCAAAGTGCTGACAAGTTTGGTCTTAGAGAACAACTCAAAAATCAGACACAAAATTATTACTCCTAAATGAAACAAAATATTAAAAAATAATAATAATAATAATTAAAATAAAGATCCTATGACTTGACATGAGCAGCACAACTGGGGAAACACCCCCCCAAGCAGGTGAGTCTTTCCCAGTCAGTGTTTGACCTGGAAACACCTGTAAAGGAAACACAACAGGATCACAGCTCTCACACACCCTGGGGCTCCAGAGGAGCTGCACTCAGTGTCCCCGCTCAGGTCACTCCTCTGTGAGGCACGATGTTAATTACAAAAATTAAAATAAAAACACAGCTGCACAAGTGCATAGTGGTCATCTCTGAGCACTCCTGGGACTGCTGCCATGGGGCAGGGCAGTGCCAGGGATGGGCTGGACACCCAGGGGCAGCAGGGGCAGGGTCATACAGTCACCGAGGCCACGGGGGAGCTGATGTTGATGACAGTCAGGTTCTGGGTGTTGTCAGAGGGGCACTTGGGGAGGTCGTCGGCCTTGCAGAGGATCTTGGAGAGGATCTTGCGGAAGGTGCAGTGGAAATCCCGGATCCTGTAGGCGTAGATGATGGGGTTGATGACAGAATTGGCGTGGGAGAGGATGATGGCCACGTACATCACCCACTCGGGCTTGGATCTGGAGAAGCCCTCGTGGAAGTGCGTGATGCAGTTCAAGATGTGCAGGGGCAGCCAGCAGAAGGCAAAAAGCCCCACAATGATGGCCAGAGACTTGGCTGCGTGCACCTCCTTCTGCAGGGTGGTCCTGGAGTTGCCCATCAGCTCGATCTGGTGCAGCTGCTTGCAGGCCACCATGAATATCTTGATGTAGATCCCCAGCATGATGACGAGTGGGAGCAGCACACAGCCAAAGAAGTTGAAGTAGACCATGTAGCTCATGGTCACCACATTCTCAAAGAGGCATGAGATGAAGCAGCCATGGGGCTCTGTCCCAGGCTCAGCCCCTGTCTCGTTGGTGGCATTGGGACAGCCACTCATGGCTTTGTTCCAGCCCATCAGTGGGGTCAGTCCAATCCCAAAGGACAGGAGCCACAGCACTGCGATGAGTCCCCTCGCCCGCTTGCCGGTCACCAGGCTGTTGTACCTGCAGCCCCGGGACAAAACCACAGTGAATGTTACATCAACGAGCACTGGTGACTTCCCTGCAGTTAAAGTCATCAGTGTTCTGGTTAATGAGACAAAAGCCACACCCACGAGGGAGCCTCACCTCTCTGATCACCCGAGGGGCAAAAACTCTCACCTGTGCTTTCCACCCACAGCCCATGATTTGGGGAGATGATTCATTTACTATTCCTGAGAGGCGCCAGGCCCTGCCCCAGCCCACAAACCCCCTGCAAGGGCAGGGAAGGGACTCGGAGTCTTAAAAAAGGCTTTAGCATTGTGTGATCCTAAACCTCCAGGTGCCAGCAGGGCACGGGCAGGGAGGCTCCCTGGGACTGATGCTCTCTGGCTCTGAGCAGCCACTGCTGGGCCAATTCCTGGGCTGACCCCGTTCAGCTGGGGCAATGCTGGTGCCCATTTCTGCGTTGCAATCCCACATGGGTTATGGAGAAGCTCTGCTGTGGCCCAGGGACAAGTTTGTGCAGTGCTGAGCCTGGTGCTGCCCCACACTTTCCTCATCCCACTGAGTCCCTTCATGGCCCCTCCTGACCTCAGATGCTCAGAGACACAAACAGAGCTGGAATGTAAAGCAGCAAAAGTCTGGTGTGGGAGCAACCAGAAAAAAAATCAAAGCATCAGTTGGACCCTTGTCTGGAGATAGGAAGAACCAGCAAGTGCCAGAAGAGAAACCCACTCCTGTCCCCTCCACTGCCACTGAGAATCTGCTGGTTGCCACATGTCCCCTCCTTCCCACACCCTTCTCTCAGTGCTTGTTTACTCTGGCTTGGCTGCCCTGCTCCTCCTTTTCTAAGAACATTTGTTCTGATTTTCTTCCGGCCCGTGAAGCAGGGGAGGGTTTTATTCCCACAGAACTGCAGCTGTGCCTGTGAATCACAGCAATACCTCCGTTTGAGCTGAGCCTCCTGCTCCTCCTGCAAGGACAGGGGGGACAGTGGGGGTCTGCCAGCACCAACTGGGAGTCAAAGATGGGCTGGGGGAGCTCTCAGCTCCTTCTTCAGGCATGAGGTGGGCTGGCTGGGAGGACACAGGAGCTGCTGAATTGTGGACACAGTCCAAGGGTTGGTGTCAGAAGTGTAGATCCAGCCACTGAGGGGCTTCTCCTGCATTTTTATCTCATTATTAATAAGTTTCAATACTTCAGAAGATGAGAAGTTCTCAAAGAGAGCATCAGTGAGGCCAAGCCTGTTGCTTTTGAGACCCCGCATTAAGTTTCCAGGAGCTGGAGCTGGTCTGGGCTTGTGGGATCTGAAATCATTGAGATTTGAGCAAGTTGACAGAAATCCCATCTCTTGGCAAAGTTTGAGCCTTGAGCTACAGCCCTGGCCAAGCTCAGTCAGCGCTGCAGAGGCACCAGGAGCTGCTGCTCTCTCAGCTCCACAGCAGAAAGGGAAAACTGCAGCTCTGTGGCTTGTGCTTGCCCTGCTTAGAGGATCTCTCCAAGTGCTCCATCCCAAAAACTGCCATGGTGAGACTGGAAAATGCCAAAGGGCCCATTGAATAGAAACAGAAACTGAAGGAATGGAGGGGTTTGTGTGCTCAGGAGCAGAATCTGCTATGGCCATGCTGAGGTCCCAGGCTGGTGACTTTCGCTGCTGCCTCTTGCTGAGAACGTTTGGCCCCAAATAAGGCTTCTTCCATCTGTTCTCCTGAACTCTTCTGCTAAGATAAGGCTTGGCTTGAAGGTTTACAAGACCAGTCAAGAAGCAACTTAATGTTCCAGTGGCTGTACTGGTGGCCTGTTTATTTTAGAGCTGCTCCTCTTCCCAGTGCTCCCAGCGGAGCTGCAGCTGGGACTGCAGCACGTGCATTTTTATATCCTCTGAGAGAAGATGTAAAAACATTCTGGGCTCCCAGTCTGCAAGAGCCAGAGCTGAGCAATGGGGAGGGCTGGAGGCCCAGGGAAGAGGTGGAGATGGCTTTTTACAGGAAATAAATGCCCTGCTTGGATGAGCTCTTCATTTCCCCAGAATTTGCATTGCAAAGCCCTCCCACCATCTCAGCATCCAGCTGATGGCAGGTGCTGGTGATGGTCATTGCTGTGGCCAGCCAGAAGAGCCCACGGTGAAATTGAGAATAGCCTGATGTCCTAGAATTGTTCATTAATTACTTTGTTATTACCTTAATACACTCATTTGGTGGGACTCTGCCTGTATTGCCCTTAAGTCAACAGAAGTTAAGCACATACTCAAAAAAAAAATTAATGAATGTCACCAGATCCAGGTAAGAGAAGTCTCACAAGCTCTTCCCTAAGCTCTATAAATAAACAGAGTCAGTGAAGAACCAACAGATTTTCACAACTCAGAATTCTCCCTCCTTCATTCTCTTTTAGGTTTAATATTATTAGGCAAAAACCCCAACCTATTAAAATAAATTTACTCACCTAAGTCTGTTCAACTAATGTATAACAAATATTGAACCACCTCTGCGCTTCCACCTAGAGGCACCAAATGTTGCTTTAATGTAAATAACAGCTGAATATTTTAAAATTATTTAGTGGAATTAAATAACCTGGCAATGCATTAGTTCCTCTTACACCACCAGGTAAATTCTCTTCACTGGTGCAATCACCATGAAGGCTTTAATTATCCTGCCCTCCCAATGGACACATGGGAGCCCTGACGCTGTCGTGGGGTGAGCCAGTCCCCTGTCCTGAGCTGTACACGGGCCACCAGGGCCACTGCAGGACAAGTGCTCTAAGGAGAGCTCAGCTGTCTCCATTGTCCCTGCTGTACCCTCACCCCCATGGGCCACAAAGGCTCCAGCTGAGGCTCCACTGGGGCTGGACGAGGTGTCCCCTGCTCCTGCTGGCCTTCCCACAGCAGGCATCCCCCCAAAACCCAGAGTTCTCCTGGAAGAGCATCACAGCAAACACCAAAAGGGCGAGTTCTGTTAGGAAGTCCCACTGTGTGTTGGTAGGATGGTTTGGGTTGGGGTTTTTTTGCATTTCTGCTGCCATTTCCTGGGGCTGGGAAGCAGCCAGGTGTCCCAGGCTGGTGCTGAGCACAGCTGGCACCGAGCAGGACACGCTGCCAGCCCGGCCTCAGCAGTTTGGCTCCCAAAGGCAGGAACTGAGTCATGTCCTGCACGTCCCTGGCATCTGCCCACCAGCCCCTGCTGGGCCCTGGGGAGCTCACCCCAGCCCTGCTGCCCCTGAGCTCTGTCAAACAGGGAAAGCACAGCAGGAGAAATTCAGCTTTTGGGGTGATGGGCTTGGGGTAGGAACAGCAGCCTGGGGGAAACACTCTGGAATGGGACTGTTGTTGCCACATTATTTACCTTAGAGAGCAGCAACAGGAGAATCCTGCCTGTCCCCAAGCAGCCCAAAAGGGTGAACACATCAAAGCCTTGTGGTGCCACACAGCCCTTGCCCTCATCATGTCCCTGTGCCAGAGCAGAGGCTGCTCAAGCACTTTGGGTTCTCCCACTGCCTCCAGAGCAGGATCAGCCTCCAATGAACAATTTCAAACCTTAAATTTCACACTCACACATGGCTTGTGCTCCCTCCCCACTGTGCCCCTGCCCAGGCTGCTGGATGCAGGCAGAGGAGCAGATGGAGTTGGCAGAACTTGGACCAGGCAGGTGCTCTGGTACAAACAACCAGTGACAATTCATGTATTTCTATTTTAAGTGTAAAGGGAAATGCACAGACACCTCCATTCACAAGGGGTGAGAGCAGCTCGGCTGCCAAGCATTGTGTCCTTGTCACCTCCTCACAGCTGTACTTTGCTTCTTGCTCTTTTTTTTTAATATATATATATATTTTTAGCTATAATAAAGTGAGCACCATTGCTGCCTCTGTGCTCCATGCACAGCCAGGAATGGAGATCACACACCAGCTGAGATATCCTGGCAGGACATTTTAAATGAATCGTTAATTGCACCTTAGAGAGGAGGGGGAAAGAGAAAAAGAAATAAAAAGCTGTGCTGTTTAACCAGGAAGGAGTTGGCGGCCAGAGATGTGATCAGTGGTGACACAATCAGCTGGGGAAGTGGGACATCTGTGAGTGTCCCTGTCCCGGGCAGACAAATCACTTCCTCCCACATCTGTCCCCATTGTGCACAGGGACAACAGCAGCACTGCCGGCCTTCCGCTGGGCAGGGGCTGTCACTGTCACACTGTCACTGTCACACTGTCACTGTCACTGTCACACTGTCACTGTCACTGTCACACTGTCACATTGTCACTGTCACACTGTTGCCAGCCCCGGCTCAGGTGAGCTCCCGGGGGCAGGAAGACCAGAGAAACAGGCACACCCAGCCCTGGGGATGCCTCTCGGGTGGAAGGTCCCCTCCCCCGGGTCCCCGTGTCCCCAGCACCAGTCCCGCCTATCAAACAAGTTTAAATCCCTGTCCCAGCTCTCCTCCAGGCACCGAACCCTCCGGGGAGCGCTCCTTGCCCGGGGTGGGGACAGAGCCGGGAGAGGGGCAGCGCCCTCGGCTGTGCAGCAGCGTGGGAACGAGGGAAAGGGATCGAACCTGCAAATGGCACTGGGGAATCCGGGAGTCACAGGGGAACAGGCGCTGCCAGGGGCTCGGGACAGCGCCTGCTGAGCGCTGCCAGCACCGGCGAGCTGCATCTCTCGCAGCAGCACCGAGGCGTTCGCGTGTGGGAGGGATCTCGGCTGAGAAAAAGTGACTGAAAACTGAACTCAGACACCGAGGCTGGGAGCGGGGCGGGCTCACACCCTGCCTGGGGCAAACTGAGGCCAACAGAGCCCCGAGCACAGGAAGGAAATGAGCCCGGCCCCCTCTCCCTGCGCGCTGCTTCCACACTCCAGCATCCCCCCACATGCGAACAGCAGCAGCTGCCCCAAAACGCCCCTGTGCCTGCAGGAGAGTGTGATACTGGTGTGATACTGGTGTGATACTGGTGTGACACTGGTGTGATACTGGTGTGACACTGGTGTGACACTGGTGTGACACTGGTGTGATACTGGTGTGATACTGGTGTGACACTGGTGTGACACTGGTGTGAAACTGGTGTGATACTGGTGTGATACTGGTGTGACACTGGTGTGACACTGGTGTGACACTGGTGTGACACTGGTGTGACACTGGTGCTTTGTGTTTCTGAGTCTTGAACACCACCCCCGCTCTCCCCTGTTTAAGACCTCAGCCCCACCCTCCCCCGGGGCTCTGCAGCCCAGCCTCATCAACCCGCTGGGGCCCGGGGCTGGGAGTTTTTGTCCTTCCGAGCCTCACCCGGGGGCTGAGTTCCAGGTCCTGGCAGAGGTGAGGTGGGGCCTGGGATTCAGAGGCGGCTGTTTGGGTGCGATCCCGTGTCCCAGACAGCTCTGAGTGCTGCCCCTGCCCGTGCCCTGCTCACTGCGATAGCAGGTAAGGGTGGGAGAAGCAGATCTCTGCTGGATCTCTCTGCAATGAAAGGGGTGCACCCCCCTTCCCAAAGCTTCCAAACCACTGCCTTTCCACCCACCAGCCCCACCAAGCTGCTGCTCAGCTGCCCTCACTGCAGAGCCCTGACCGCCCTCCCCAGGGGCTGGGGGACCTGGCAGGGTCAGCACTGAGCCCATTGTGCCTCATCCCAGCCTATTCCAGCAGCTCCGGGAGCCCGTCCCGTCCTCTCCTCCCTGCCTGGCCAGGTTGGACAGAGCACCCAGCCCTGTTCCAGCACAAGGGGCACATCCCATGGAAGGTTTGAGCGGTGGGAAGGGGGAACATGGCCCAGAGCTGCTCCTGCAGGGACTGTGCTCTGTCCCTTGTCCCCAGTGGATCCACCAGCTCTGGTCCCAGTGAGACCAGGGCCCAGATGGCACTGAAGGGTGTAAGAGCAGGGACACACACACACACACACACACACAGGGACATCCCCAGGATGCACTCTCAGCTTATCTGTGGCTCATGCCCAGGCCTGATATTATCCATTGGATGAGAGTTAATCCTCTCTTTGCATTGCACACATTCCCTAAACATTTTGGTTTTGTGTCTTTTCTCTGGAAGATCAAAATATCCTGCTTTATTTCAAAAGTTGCTTTTTTAAAAAAAGTTACAGATTGAGCTGGCCAAAACAGAATAAAAACCTTCTAAATCCAAAGATCTGGGCTCTGACTCAGCCTGGAGATCAGTGCCCTCAGCCAACAGCCTGGAAGCATCCCTGATGTTCCCTGGCATCCCTGCTGTCCCCCAGCTTCTGCAGAAGCTGTGTCAGGGCAGAGGTCCCAAAGAGGTCCAAGTTCCTTTTCCTGTCAGGACTTTTGTTTTTTGGGAGGGAAGTGGCCTCAAAGGTGCAGGAAAGATATAAAAATCTGGAACATGCATTTTAAGGAAAGCAGGCTGCTCACAGCTAAAAATAGCTGTGATTTCTCCTCTCTACTTTATTACCACAAGGGCACATGTTGACTCCTGTGTATTCCTGATTTTTGTTGTTGAGTTTTGGCTGCATCCAAAGGCTGGAGTGAGTGGCAGCCCTGTGAGATCCTCCCACATCCTCTGGGCCCAGCTTGGCTGACATAAACAATGTGACAGCTCCATTGCTCAAGAGAACACCCCAGCCCTCCTGCCCTTGCTGGGTCTGTGGCACTTGCAGTTTATAACTCAGTGATAACCAGGGCCAGGCATAGCATCCTGTGGGATGGGGAGGCTCTGGAAGCAGGGATAAGGATGCTCAGGGAGTGGGCACAGCACAGGAGCCACACAGAGACTATTCCCAGGGGTTCAGATGAAGGGCAGTGCAAGGACCAAAGGAAATGAGGCAAGGGCACAAGGAGGAAGAGCAGCTGCAGTTCTGTGTGCTGGTGGCACTCACACAGTGGCAGCTGAACACCAAGAGGATTTTCTCTGCTCCCCAGTGGCTCCAGCCCTCCCACTTGACATCAAACCCCACCAGTTTGCTTTGCTGAGCAACAAGCTGGGAGTTGACAGGGACTGGGAACAAATCTTTGCTGGGGAAGGCAGAGGGAACCCCTCCTCTGCAGCAGAGGGGAGCAGTGAGGGCGGGCAGAGCCTCAGCATCAGCCACTCTGGAAAGGATGAGGGAAACCCAGCAACAATCCAAATTTAATCTGTCCCACGAGGATAGCAGGAAGGAGCTGCACTGTTGCCTTCCTCATGTCAAAGCCAAGGGGGGGCAGCAGCTCCTGTGGGATACTGGCAGGAGCAGAGGAAGATCAGGGTAGCACCATGAACAGATCCTGATCCCATTAACTGATTGTGAATCCATAGGAGGATCCTCTGTCTGCAGAAGGGGCAGAAAGAGCTCAAAGATGTGCAAAAGGGAGAGAATGTGGCTGGGACCCTGCTCCAATTCATAGCAAAGCTTCCCTGGAACATCAGTCCTGCACATCTGCAAGGGGTAAAGTTGAAGATGGAGAGAACTAAACCCAGGACAAGCAGCAGATCAGCTCAAATCCGAGGGAGCTGGGGATAATTTTCCCATGCTGGGATGTTTGCCAGGCAGCAGCAACATATCCACTGTCCTGCAGGAGGTACCAGTGGACAGGGGCACACACAGCGTGTTGTTACTCACTGTTTCATTCTTCTTTTGCCTTCCAAATACAGATTCTTTTCTCCCTCCCTAATTCCTGACACGTTTGTTCCAGGCATCCCTCCCTAGCTACAATTCTTTGCCACGCCAAAGGATTTGAGTTAACGCAAATAAAAGGAAACTGTTTTATTCCACCTACAAATCTTCTTTGGCTCACAGCTATGGGACAGTGGGGTGAAATCCAGCCCTGGAAGAAGCCAGAGAGCCGAAGTCTCTATGCCAAGTGCTCTCTGCAGGATGGATTTGCTGCTGTTGAGAGATGCTCGATTCCCTGGCTTGGATATTCTGCTTGGAGGAAATGCTGTGGGGGGGGTCAGGCTGGCAGAGGAGAGCTGGGATGGAGCTGTGTCCCTGGGCACAGGGATGGGCACACGGGGGTGGCAGCAGCCAGGAGGGTGCAGGAAGAGGGGACACAGGACAAGGAGCTGCATCCTGGTGATGGCCAAGAGAGAAGGGACCCAGGGAAGGGCTCGGAGCTGCAGCTGCACAGAGTGGGCAGCGTGGGTGGGGGCTTCTCCACAAACAGTAAATTCATCAAAAGCAAACAAGCGAAATACGAGTTTCGAGGGACAGAAAGAATTCATGGCTTCGGGTCAAATTCAGCAATATTTTTAGCCAGAAGAGGGAGGGTTCTAAACCACCATTTTTAAAATAAGACTTTTTGTTCTGCATTTCTCCAGATGAGAAGTTGTCAGTTCCTTCCCCAGTGAAGAAGTCTTGACCTCAAACAGCAGCACAACCACATTGGAAGGGTTGGGCAACTCAACCCAAAATCTGCCAGGTTGGTCAGGATCACTTTGCTTCACTGAAACCTCCCAACATCACTGTTCCAGTTTCACTGAAACAATTTTCCTCTTCCCCACGGGATTTCTTGGTTCAGCCACAGAGCTGAAAAATCCATTATTAGCCTGGCTGTAATGCAAAGTTCTGCTGTACCCCAGCCCACAGGCCTACCCAACCTCTCAAACAGCTCTGAAATGGTATTAAATAATGTGGCATAGCCAGTCCTTAATGTCCCTGCCGAGCTTTCCACAGGGAGCTGATGGAGCACTGGCTGTGACAAGGACACTCATCTGCTCTGCGACAACCACATTATTTATGGTAATTGCTGGACAGGGCAGGGCACAAATCATTTTTGTATGAAATGAGGCCTGGTATCAGCCTCTGCACTGGCCTCCAGAATGGGTGTTTTAATGAGAAAAGCTTTTCCTACAGTCTCCATTCCTAGAAATGGATGATCAGCTTCCCGTTCCCACAGCACAACGCTGATTCCAGAAATGGCACGTGCTCCTGCCCAGAGAGGGTGGTGGGAGAAGTTCCCTGCCAGCAGCACCGTGGAGCTCTGCATTATTCCCAGGAATAATGGTGCTGAAGAGAAAACTCCAACCAAGCCTTGCTGGAAAAACCCTGCTGCAGTAGAAAAGGGAGCCTGTGTAGTTTTATAACCTCCTCTATCCCCTTTTGGTCTTTGCTGTACAACTGAAAAAAAGCCTTTTGGTATCAGTCCCTAAATCTCCTGTCAGTGGCCTGCCCACTGTCCTGCTCCTCACAGGGAGAACTCGCCTCCTGGAAAGGACTTTTTTACTCACTGTTTTTTTCTGAGAGCACTGAATTAGGCCTCAATGCCAAGAGGGAGTTTAATCCAAATTTTGCACCTCAGCCAGCCTAGGATGGGACTCCTTGGTCTCCATTTGCGTCCAACTCAAAAGCACTCGTAGGAATAAAGATGTTTGTACAAATGAAATAAAAGATTTGGTGTGAGATGGGGTAAGGAAAACGAAGCTGGGAAAGAATCCCGAAGCAAGGCAAAACTGCCCTGGAATGAACTGCCCTGATGGAGAGTCGAGCAAACCTGCTCAAGACCAGGATTGGGGGAAAAAGCGTGGAGGAAACACTGGCTGTTTTGTCAGTTGGCAAAGCCACTTCCCTTCTGTGAGCACAGGAATGATCCCTCTGAGCATTTCTGATCCTCGGCTTCCCCCTGGATCTCAGCAGAGCAGAAACCCCTCACCACAGTTTCCTCAGCTGCAGAAAGTTGAGTTGCCTGTGGTACAAAAATAGTTATTGCCTGACAGCTTGTGGCCAGGGCTGTGATGAAACTGAACAATCTGAGCTGCTGCTGTGCCACTGCCCTGCCATCGTGAGAAAGCCCTGGACAAATGGGTGGAAAAGACACCACAGCATTCTCCTGAGCCAGGGTGGGTCTGTGAGCCCGGCTGGGAGGGTCAGAAACAGGGTCAGGGATGCTGGAAACAACCCGTCCCTGTCCCTGTCCCTGCTCTGCTGCAAGTCTGCTCCCGCTTGCACGACATCCCCCGGAATTTCCACGAGCCGTGCTGTGATGATGCACAGCCACGCTTTTCCACCGCTGCCTGATGACTAATTAATGTTTGCTCAACCTATGGGAGGTCTCAGATGCAAGGTGCCAGAACAGGGTGAAAGGGTTTTCTTTTTCTGAGTCGTTTTGGGGTGACTTCACTGCTCGTGCACGAGAGATGCCGGGGACGAGCAGTACCCAGGAAAGCTGCTGCTCTCCGGAGTTCAGCTGAGGTCCCTGTGCCACATCTGCCCTGTTTCCCCACGGCCTCTGCTCTTGGCCAGTCCCCGGAGCTGTCCTGGACTGCCGGGGGTCGCTCCATCAGTGGCTCATTCCCAGGGAAGGACGACTGAGACATGGGGGAGACTGAGACGAACAAACTCAGGTCGTTCATAATGAAAAGGCCGGGCTTTGGTGCACTTCAGCTTAAGGAAGCTGCTGCACCAGCCCACTGAGAGGTGCCTGTAATTTCTCTTCCATACAGTTTTCCCCATTTTAGTTCAATTCCCACGAATTAGAGGGAAACCAATTCATGTCTTGGATGCTGCACTTGGATGGGACTGAAATGTAAAACTCCAAAATCTGACGTGTGAATCTTTCTGCTCTCCTCTTCTCCTTTCACAGCAGGAATTAGGAAAGAGTGGCTGCTCCTCTATTTAATTACCTGGGAGCTGCCTGGACACCACAATAAAGGGGCTGTATAAATACCTACACGGATGAGCCACAACCATCCCAAACACGGCCTTTCACCACTGCAGGCCCCCGCGAGAAGCCACTGACCCTCCCAAGGCAAACATCTTCAAGAAACCGAACTTCCAGGTGTATTTTGAAGCAAGAGGTGTGATACTGATCCCAGTCCTGCAGCGAGTGCCAAACCTCTGCTATTCTCGTCACCTGTGTGCCCCAAAACTTTGGAGCAGGACTGGAGGTGAGAAGTTACTGCACGCTAAGAGCAGGAAGGTCTGACCCAGGCTGTCAGGGAATGTGGCTGCCCTCCCACTCCAATCTCTTACCTCAGCGGGATCTTAATAGCCAGGTACCTGTCGATGGCCACCGCCAGCAGGCTGAAAATGGAGCTTTGGGTCAGCACCAGCACGAAACAGGCGAAGAAGAGGCAGCTGTGAAAATCCACCTGGAAGCCAATGCTGATGGTGATGGCGAAAGGGATGGCCAGCAACCCCACGGCGATGTCAGCCACCGCCAGAGACACCAGGAAATAGTTGGTGGCGTTCTTCAAGGTGCTGTTGATGGCCACAGCCCAGCAGACCAGCACGTTGCCAGCGATGGAGAGCACGGCGATGATGAGCTCCAGCACGATGTAGGTGGTTTTCAGAGTGTCCATGGCGAGAGCCCAGCACCCGGAGCAGGCGCTGCTCATGGGAAGAAGGGACTTTCCGCCGGGCTCTCTCCCGCAGGTACCGACACGCCACGGGGCAGCCGAACGCCCATGTCTGGGCTCCCCGCGGCCCTGGGGGGCCGGAGGGGCGCGGCGAGCCCCGGGTCGCGGCCCCCCGCTGCCCGCACGGCCCGGCCCCCGCCCGGCATCCGCGGCTCTGCTCAGCGCCCGCCCGCAGCCACCGCCACCCGCGGGGCCATCGGGGCTGCTCCGCCCGGGGCTGCTGCTCCTGGGGCTGCTCCTCCGCCCGGGGCTGCTGCTCCTCCGCCCGGGGCTGCCGCTCCTGGGGCTGCTCCTCCGCCCGGGGCTGCTCCTCCCGGGGCTGCTGCTCCTCCGCCC